AACCATGGTGGCTAATTATATATATATATATATATATATATATAATATTTCAACCTTAGTGGTGAATAAATATCTATCTATTGCGACCTTAATGAAGAGCTCTTTATGGATATTCAAGATTACTTTTTTGTACTTATAGTTAATGTTATACGAGATTGAGACATATTGTGATACTTATGATATGATGATGTATTATTGCCTTGTTGGCTATTGATGTTTAGACTCAATGGCTAGCCCCTTAGTTGAGGACTAGGAAAAGTAGGAGAATTATTATGTTTTATTGTAGTATTTTATGTCTTTACTGCTTATTACTTGACACGCTTATACTTATAACATTCATGATATTTACATTTGATTAGCGATATACCATTGAGTTTGTGAAGCTCAACGTTTAAATACTTTCATTTCGAGGGTACAATATCTAAGTATATTAATGGACATATATATAGGTCACTTACTTTGTATTTGGTCTATAAATTTTATTTATATTTTAGATTTGTTTTGATGACTTTGTAAATAAACCTCTGGATTATAAACTTTTTAAAATGCTTTATAAACTTGATGTATTAGATTTATGATGATTTCAAATTATATTGAAAAAATTTTAAGTAATAGTTGCTTTTGTGGTACAATGTGTCACACCAGGCCTTATACGAATTTAGGATTTAGGGTGTTTGTAACACCCTAAACCAGTACGACACACAGTTGATCGATTAGAATGCCACACAAAACTACTGGAGTGGACAACCAAAATTTTCATTAACTTCTTAATTAAAGAGTTTTCTTGAAAATAATCATGATAAAAAAATCCATCACAATTTAATATAAGGTTTTCCATCAGGACCTCCCAAAATAATTAAATAAAAATATACATACCACTTTAAAATGAGTTACGACTCGAATATACAAAAAGGGGTCTACAAATATACATGCCCTCTAAAAGATAATCTTGAGACGTACTCTGCAATGAATCTTGGTCTGGACCTTAGTTGAACAAAACGCTCTTCAACTGCTCCTACTACTAACCTGTGTAAGAAAACAAATTCCAAACACTGAGCTCACTAGCCCAGTACCACACTAACAACTAAACCATACTAAAGGTGTTCATTAAATGCTCAAGCTAACTGGTAAAAATGCAACAATGCATACACTCGTATACTGCACTCTCTACTCTATGGTAGACATCATGGTGCGGCTGAGGATTCTGCATCTCGGAGCTCATGCACCCATCTAGTCTATCGAGGATGAGGCACAAAATCTATACATCGGACACAACACCCTCAACTAACCCATCCCTCGCGAGTGTTGGACCTTGGCCCTAGTTAGTCAGTTTAAAGTGTCTCACGCAGTACCTAAGGATATCCAGACTTATTTTATTCCTCGATACTAGTATCATTTACTAAAGTGAGTTGGGTGTCCTGATTGTTCCCCAGTGTATAAACAAGGCTAGTTTTATTTAATCCTAGCAGTCAATATTTCTATTATCTTATATAAATTACTATTATCACTTAGAGTCTTATTTGTTGTTAATCTGAGTATATGGGGTACCTCGAGTCTGATCCTTTAATCCTTGGACTAATTATCCAAAAATGTTCATGGGTACCGATATTGAACCTTCAGTATCGGTACTAAACCTTTGGTATCGATACCCACATGCCGATATCGATACTCTAGGCTGAGTATCGATACTCTGGTGCTGGGGTATCGATACTTGCCTGAGTATCGATACCAAAATTAGGTTCGATGTTTTGGAAAATACCCTAGTATCGATACCCCTATGGAGAGTATCGATACTCCGACACCGGTATCAATACTCTATGAATGAGTATCGATATCATCTCTTTAAAGTTGCCTATGTTTTTCCTGAAAAATGAACAATATCGATACTGTTCTTACAATATTGAGACCATCGCTACGAAGTACCCTGTTTTTGGCACGAAAATCCCTTGTTTCTACCCTAAAAGAACCCATTGAGGTCCCCAATTAGTGTTTAAGTGTTGTATTTGATATTGGGATCATAAAGAAGGCTTTAAACATGATAAAAATAAAAATAAAACATAGAATCTACCATGAATGCTCCAATTAGGGGTGAGCAAAACTCAACTCGACTTGAAAAATTAAATTTTCGAATCGATTCGACTAAAAGAACTTGACTCGAATTGGCTTCAAGTTGGAATTTCATAAACTCGACTAAGTTCAAATCGAGTTGTAAAATGAAACTTGAATAACTCAAAATTTTAGTAATTTGTGGATTTATTGTCAAGTTTGAGTGGAGTCCTTGGACTTTGTATGATATTTGTATATCATATATGAAAAATATAAAAAAAATATTTGTATCATATATGGTTATATAAAGTCACTTAAATTGGAATTAAATAATATTATAATAATATAAATATTTACAATTTAATTTAAGTGGAAACTCAAAAAATTGACTTGACTCGAAAAAATTTCAAATCAAGTCTGAGTTGTAAAATATGACTCTTCAACTCGAATAATTCAAAAACTTTTAACTCGACTCAATCAAACGCTCACCCTTAGCTCCAATAATCAGCTCTAAGCTTAGGATGCATCTCTAATGACTCAAAAGTTATATGAAGAAGTTGTAAATACGTTACCATGAATTCTTAGCTGCTAGGAAAGCTCTCAAATCACCCAAGGGATAACTTCTCTTTCCCTCTTTCCCTTTCTCCTACTTCTTTCCCTAAACCCTTGGTTAACCAAACTTACACTTGAAAGCCTTAAAATCTCAACTGTGGAAAGGAAGAAGAAAGAGAAAAGATGGAAGGAAAAAGAAGATTGTTTGGTGAGAAAACAAGGGGTGGTTCACATAAAACATATAATAGGGAAGGGGTTTTCATCTTTCAAAATAATCAAGGGGTAAATTATACTTTTAGTCATTTTTCTTTCAGTTTCAACTTAAATCACCGCTAGCCGTTGGGCCCAACTCAAGCCCACCCTCTACTTAAATAAGTTCGAATCATTCTTATTGGTCATTTGGTTCAATTTATGGATTTCTCTTTGACTCGAACTACTAACCCAGGATTTGGGACATTACAGTATTACATTTAGTAGTATCAAAATTTAGGTTAAGTTAGTTCTAGAATCAGTTGGTCATAGTAAATTATTGATTGATGCATGCCCCTCAGTTTAAGAACATACCCTTATATGACTGAAAACATGATGGTGCTTCATTTCATATTTATTACTATATATGTGAGATGTCTGACGACTTTAAACATAGCCATATAAAGTTCAGATGAGAGCTTTGTCTCTCACGTTGAAGATATTGATGTTGAGTAGATTTCTGATACGATCGTGGAATCTTAAAAATGCGAGAGTCGAGAAAATAACTTTCTTTCGAGATTTGAAGACTAATTTAAGGGAAATTGTTGATGTTATTCTTCAAATATAGAGTACTCTATCAACTTCCCCTACCTCAGTCGTTTCGTATGTGTCCTCGATAAAGAGGCTCTAGAGGTGCTAGACTTTGGTCTTTCGTGTATTGGGTAAGGATGACTTGATATCTACTGATCACTGGCTGAGAGAGACACTATGGATTCTGTAACAACTCCATCGTACTTTGGATGATAAGAGCATCATCACTCTACTTAAAGGTGACGTAATTGATAGAGGAGAGATGATTAAGATGTTCATGGAACCAGAGTTACCTACGTGGTATTTATTTATGCACAAGTTTTGAGATGAGTATATTAAAGTGGTGTGAACGGATGATCTTAGGATACAAGTATCACAATTGGTTCAAGGGGGTCAATCAATGTTCAATTATGAGTGAGGTTTCCTAAGATTGAGTCGTGATGCTTCTAAGGGTTTATCTTTAAGAATAACTCAATTAAGGGTTCATTCCCTCCAAGTATTTTTCTAGGTAGAGTTAAAAGAATTAAAGGTTTAGCTTCAAGAACTACTCGATCAAGAGTTTATTCGCTTGAGTATTTTATCATGGGGAACATTGGTTTTATTTTTTAAGAAAAAATATGGATCTATGAGGTGGTGCATATATTAATGTCAGTGGCATAAAGTAATTGTGAACAATATGTATCATTTGCCAAAGCATTTCTTTTATTTTAATAGTCTGAGGTAATTTACAATGTAGTATTTGTTCATAATCTTTCTTAACCAATGGCAGTATTTACACATCCTGCAGATACAACTGCTTGACCTCAAGATTTGTAGGAAAAACAACACTTCATTCTACCACTAAAGTCATTAAATAGATTCTTAAATTAAATAAATGATAACAAATTAATAATTATTTCCACAAGAGACTTATGTATTGAATGAAACTTTTTCAAACGACAAAAGCAAGCAACGGGAAGCACAACAAATAGTAAGTTGAAGGAGGGGGAAGAGGTCCATCTACCAAAGACTCATCTTACACGTATACTTTTTACCTGAGCATTTCTCGGTGTTATCCATTTAGATGAAAAAGATATTATAAAAGTATAGAATTAAATCATGTCAAATTCAAGTATTGGATGAATTTTTAAATTAAGCACAGTAGAAGGATTAAAACCAATATTTGGCCTATGATGTTGTATATCTCACCAGGCCAAAACATGGGAAGGGGGACATGTGGCAATAAATCTATAAACGAAAAAGGATAAATTATATGTTTAGTTACTAAATTATTATTTTAATTACCTAATTATTATTTTTTCAAAACATTCCTAACTATTGGAATATGCATTCTGGAATATGCATTGTTAACGTGTGCATGCATTACTAATGTGTGCATTGAGTGAGCTTTACTGATGTGTGTTAGTTGTTATGGTTGTTAAGAATAGTGACGTATGGAGTCTATTATGGATGTTATTAATTGTTATAGGTAGTTGAGAGATTGAGTAGGCTTGAAGTCATGACTCTTATATAAGCTAGTTGTGTTGTAGTTACATGATAAGCATAATAAAAATATTATATTCATTTCTTCTTAATCAAATTCTCAACATGGAGTCTATTCTTTCGCTGCTTGAGAGGTCATCATGTTGAATGGTGATGGTTCTACCTCACAGATGGAGGTTCTTTCGAGGAACGCTAAAGTCTTCTCCAATAAGAAGGTAAATGTCATCCTTGATGAAGCTAACTTTCTTTTATTGAAGCAACAAATACTACTAACGGTTCGTAGTCATCGTTTGGAGCGGTTACTGATGGGATCATATCTGTTTTGCCAGCGATGGTGCTTAATGGATCAGGTGAGGTAGTACCGAATGAGTTGTATGAGGACTTTATGGCTCATAACAGTGCACTTGTGTCCTGGTTACTTTGGACGATTAATCCACTATTTCTACCTCAGTTTGTGGGTGCTGAGACGACGTCCGTAGTGTGGAATATGGTGTTGTAGTTTTTTGCCAATCAATCTACTACTGTTGTTATTAATCTGCATTATAAACTAGAATCCCTTAAGAAAGGTGATGATTCAATACAAGCTTACCTTACAAGAGTAAAGGAAGTATGTGATGCCTTGGCCTCTTGTGGGAGTGTTATCTCTCAAGTTGTGCATGTAGCTAGCATTCTTAAGGGGTTACTTTGTGAGTATTAGCTGTTTATGGATGTGATAACAACTATGAGAGAATCAATGACTCTTGATGCCACGTACAATATGTTGATGGATACTTAAACGCAATTGTTGGCTTTGGTGAGTCACTTGAGTCTTTTCTAATGAGTGTTCATATTGCTCAAGGGAAGGTATCAGGTGGATATGAGGATCAATCTAAGTCTAGGTCATTTGTTCGTCAGTCATATTCACGTGGAAGGTCTTCTGGTTGAGGATGAGGTCAGACTAGGCTACATGTCAACTTTGTGGAAAAATGGACATCTGGTAGATCGATGTTGGCATCGATTTGATGAAAGCTTTCCTGGTATTACAACTAATAATAACTCGTATTCAAAGGATGAATATAGCGTTGCTTATTATTCTGTGAGTGACAACAAAAGCACTAGATGTGAGTGTTGTCTTGCTAAGAGAACTGGATCTAAGTTGTTAGCTCATTCAAAACCAACGTCTTCTCGTGAACAATGGGTCATGGATTCAGGTGTTACGCATCATGTTACCTCTGAAGGTGTGAATATTAATCAATCAGTTGACCTTAATAATCCAGGTAAACTAATTGTTGGTAATGGAGTTGCTTTAGAAATTGAATCTATTGGTTATGCATCTTTGAATTCATCTTCTCATCTTTTACTGCTAACTGATTTGTTGCATATGACAAGAATAACCAAGAATCTACTTTCGATGTCAAAGCTTACTAGGGATAATAATTTTTTTCTCGAGTTCCATGCCCATGAGTGCTATGTTCGTGATGAGAAGTCTGGTGTAGCCTTACTTCGAGGAAGAGAATATGGTGGTCTGTATGTTTTTGGTGTGAACTCTTCAGTTGGTGATCGTTCTAGAGCATAAATTAATGTAACACAGTTGTCTAAAAATGTGTATGATCTGTGGCATCAGCAGTTGGGTCATCCCTCGCATGATAGCCTAGTTACAGTGTGTAAAGAGTTGAATGTAACTCTTCTTTCAAGAAATAATAATACAACCTGTGTTGCATGTCATATGGGAAAGAGTCATAAGTTTCCTTTTCCTGAATCTACATCTGTGTATGACACTCGTTTTCAACTAGTTTTTTCAGATCTGTAGGGACCTTCTTATGTTGTCTCAATTGGATATAAGTACTATGTTACGTTTGTTGATGCCTGCACAAGACATTCTTGGTTATACTTGCTACGTGATAAGTCTTAAGCTGTCATTGCATTTAAGATGTTTCAACAAATGATCTAGGTGTAATTTGGTTTACCTATAAAAGCAGTTCAAAGTGACTGGGAGGAGAATATCGCAGTTTGTCGAGATATTTGCTTAATGGTGGTATTTCTCATTGTCTTACATGTCTACACACCTCTGATCAAAATGGAGTAGTTGAACGCAAGATTCGTCATGTGATCGAACTTTCTCCTGTGTTGCTTGCACAAGCTTATATGCCAATCAAGTTCTGGGCTTATATGCAAATCAAGTTCTAAACTTATGTTGTTATTACAGCTGTGCATTTAATCAACAGGCTTCCTACACAGTTTTGAAAGGAGTATCTCCATTTGAAAAGTTATTTCATAAGAAACCTGATTATGGACAGCTGAGGGTGTTTGGGTGTTTGTGTTTCCCTTATTTGAGCCCTTACCTGAAGCACAAGTTAGAATTTAATCTAAACCCGGTACTTTTTAGGGTACAGTCCACAACATAAAAGCTTTCAATGCCTTGATGCTACTGGTTGAGTGTATATAACTAGACATGTGGTATTTGATGAATTGTAATTTTCGTTTGCAATAGTGCATGAGAAGTTATCTAATGATTCTAATGTGTATAGTTCAGTTGGCTTTTTACAAATTGTGGCTGATGTGAGTAAATTTCAACATAGGGCTTCTGCTGAATCTGTGCATGGTTTAATGGCTAGTAGCAGTCATCCAATGTTACCTAGTGATGGTTCTAGTCCTGGTTTGTTAGGGGAAATGAATAGTACTCCGAATGCAAAACAAGAAGTTGAAGTTGTTGTTCCAAATGATGCACAGGATGATGTTGCTAGGTCTCCTAGAGAGATGAGTGTATCACAGTCTACTGCTGGTTGTGTGCCAAATGCAAGTGATGGTTCTAGTGTATCACTGAACAGACATTCAATGATGACTAGGAGTAAATGTGGTGTGTTTAAACCAAAGGTTTATACCAGTTCTCTTGTTGATGTTTATAGTTCTTTTGAGTCGCCCAGTTAGAAGGAAGTAGTTCAGGCAGAATTTAATGCACTGCAGTCAAATAACACTTGGACTCTTGTTAAATTGCCTGTAGATCATGAGGTTGTTGGTTGTATATGGCTTTTTCGGGTTAAAAAGAATCATGATGATTCTGTTCAAAGGTATAAAGCCCGTCTTGTTACCAAAGGTTGTTCACAAGTTCCAGGCTATGATTTCAAGGATACATATAGTCTTGTTATAAAAAATTCCTACCTTAAATGTTGTTCTCTCTATTGTTGTTGCAAGGAATTGGTCTTTAAGGCATGTTAATGTGAATAATGCTTTTTAAATGGTGATTTTGCTGAGGATGTCTTTATGAACCAACCATCTGGATTTGAGGAATATGATGTTGATGGAAGTTCTCTTGTGTGCAAACTTAACAAGCCATTGTATGGCCTTAGACATGCACCAAGAAATTGACATGACAAGCTCAAAGCAAGTCTGATTCGATTAGGTTTTACTGAATCCAGAGATGATGTTTCCTTGTTTGTAAAAAATGATGCAGGTTACCATACATATATACTTGTTTATGTGTATGATATTATCATTACTGATGGCTCTCTTCATGGTATTGATAGTGTTGTTCATGCTTTGAGTCATGATTTCTCTTTAAAGGATCTAGGAGAATTGTCTTATTTTTTGGGAATTAAAGTTAAGTGTAGAGAGGATTCATTAGTGATGTCTCAGCGTAAATACATACTTGAGCTTTTAGAGAAAACATGTTAAAAGCTAGACCTACAGTTACCCCGATGGTTGTGCTCCAAAGATGTCACAGGAAGTTGGTGAGTTGTTCACTAATGCTCGAGAATACCATAGTATTGTTGGTGCCCTTCTATATATATGTCATACAAGGCCAGATATAGCTTTTAGTGTAAATAAAGCATCATAATTCATGCATGTTCCTCGTGAATTACATTTAGCTGTTGTTAAGAGGATACTCATGTATTTGGCTGGTACACTAAACTATGGCTTGACATTCTTTTGTACTGGTGCATCACAGGATGTTGTTGCTTTTGTTGATGCTGACTGGGGTGGTAGTTTGGATGATAAGAGGTCAGTTTCTGGTATTGCAGTATTTCTTGGTCCGTGTCCTGTGGTTTGGAACTCTAGAAAATAGAAAACAGTTTCCAGGTCTACAATGAAGGCAGAGTACAGTAGTATAGCTGATGCTGATGTAGAAGTTACATGGATAAGTTCACTGCTATGTGATCTAGGAGTTGAATATCGAAGTATGCATGTTGTTTGGTGTGATAACACCAGTGTTGTTGCCTTAAGCACAAATCCGGTTTATCATGCACAATCCAAACATCTTGATATGAATATTCATTTTGTGCGTGAAAAAGTTGCAGTTAAGCAGATTCAAGTTAATTATGTTCCAGCAACTCATCAAGTGGCAGATGGTCTTACAAAACCACTAACAAAAGGTGCATTTGAGTTGTTTCGAGAGAAGATGTGTGTTCTACCTTGTTAGTGTAAAAGGAAGAGGACAACGAATCGGGAAGAATATTGGAATATGCATTCTAGAATATGCATTTGCATTCTGGAATATGCATTTGCATTCTGGAATATGCATTGTTAATGTGTGCATGCATTGCATTCTGGAATATGTATTGTTAACGTGTGCATGCATTGCTAATGTGTGCATTGAGTAAGCTTTACTGATGTGTGTGAGTTATTATGGCTGTTAAGAATAGTGACGTATGGAGTCTGTTATAGATGTTGTTAAATGTTATAGGTAGTTGAGAGATTGAGTGAACTTGAAGTCATGACTCCTATATAAACTAGTTGTGTTGTAGTTACAGGATAAGCATAATAAAACATATGATATTCATTTCTTCTTAATCAACTTCTCAACACTAACTTTATATATATTTTTTCATTTTAATCACCAATTATTAAAAAATTAATGATATATTAATGTATTATGGTAAGATATTACTATATTATTACTAAAGAAATAAAAAAAATACAGCATTAGTTGTTCTTGCTAACTAGATATGAGAAGTAAACACGTGGCAAGAGATCATGTTGTAAATAAAATGATGTTATTAGTGAAGTCGCCATCTTTAAGTTGCAGACAAAAAATCATGGTTTTCAGAATCGGATCGGTTAGCGAACCGATCATGCATCGGTTCATTGGTTCAATCGGTTTAATCGATTGAAAGAATCGGACGATATCATAATTATTTAAAAAATTAAATAAAATACCAAAAATATTTAATAAAAAATAATTTTGTATATCACAAGTTATATTCAAAGCAAGTCATAACATATATGAGTTAAAAACCATAAAATCAAGTGAAACAAAATGATTCAAATTAACTACAACATAATATTTAAGATAAAACATATTAAATAATAAATATAATTATATAACTATAATTAAAAAATAAATTTGGGGCTAAAAAAATCATAACAAAATGATATTGTTTGGTTTAATTTTTTTAAAAAACAATCTCACATGGCTAAGAAACATAGAAGAACATCCCAAAAGTCTAAAGAGTAAAAATATGAGAAAAAACAATCCACATGGCTAAGAAACATAGAAGAGCATCCCATCTAACTTCTATAAATAATAGAGATAATTTGACATGCAAAATCATGGAGCCTTTTGGTGAGCATAGAGTGAACTATTCTTTCACTTCAATCAAGCTCGAATTTTAGGCTTCAATCGAGCTTCTAATTTTTTTTTTGAGTTCAAGCCTTTTCGAGTTCAAGTTTCAATATTATATTTCGAGTTCGAGTTGAACTTGATAATTTTTAGTTCGTGAGTTTGAGTCGAGTTGAGCTTACTTTTAAAGTTTGAGTCAAGCTCAGTAATACTCGAGTTCGACTTGGCTCGTTTAACAAATGACGTCGTTTAGTTTAATTTTAAAAAAAAAAAAAAAATTGATGGTTTTTCCCGATTTTCAGTCGGACCGGTTCGAACGGTTTAACGGTTCCGAAAATTCACTAATAGTGGTTCAACCGATTTAATTTGAACCAGACTAAACAACAGTTCCCGATTAAACCGATTGAACCGACCGATCCGGTCCGATTTTCAAAACAATGCAAAAAATTGGAAAGCAAAACCAATCATCTTCAATTTCAAAGCCCCTCAACAGCTGGCACTTGGCATGGGACCCCTCCTTCAATAAATAAAAAAAAAACAAAGTATTATCGCCTTGGCCTAATCCCCTCCTTTCATTTTCATTTTATTTTTCTTTCATACAAAATTTTCTGCATAACGACAAAAATCCTACATCCATAAATTGCCAACCCATCCTCCTCTCTCAAAAATTTCAATCCCCTTCTTCTTCTTCTTCTTTGAGATGGATTTGGAGGATTAATTTCACCTTTGATTTTGTTGTTTGATCTTCTTGTTTGTTTGTTTATATTCATAGCTTAGTTGAATCATCTCAAGCTTTGTTTTCTAGGTTGTAATAGTAATTAACATGAAGCATCCACAATCAAGTTTGCCCCCAGGTTTTAGGTTCCACCCTACAGATGAGGAACTCATCCTTCATTATCTAAATAAGAAACTGAGTTCCTCCCCTTTCCCCGTTTCGATCATCGCCGATGTCGATATTTACAAGTTCAACCCCTGGGACTTACCAGGTGAGCCTTTTTCATGTTACCATCATAGGGAAATCATTTTTGTCATGTTTAAGGCTTGTGTTGAACGTTGTACCTGTGTTTGTGTTTTTTTTTTTCCTTTTTGATCAGATAAAGCCGCCTTTGGTGAGAAAGAATGGTACTTCTTCAGTCCGAGAGATCGGAAGTACCCTAACGGTGCGAGACCAAACAGGGCAGCCGCGTCCGGATACTGGAAAGCGACCGGCACCGATAAGGTCATAGTTACCTCTTCGATGGCGGATGGAAGGGGTGAAGTGCATGAGAATATTGGTGTAAAGAAAGCTCTTGTTTTCTACAAAGGCAGACCCCCTAAGGGGGTAAAGACCAAATGGATCATGCATGAGTATAGACTTGCAGACAACCCTAACTTCAACTTCAACAACAGGCCACTCAAATCCAAAGATTCCTCCATGAGGGTGAGCCTCATCTTTAGAACACCCTATTTAATTTGGCATCCGAAGGGACCTTTTTATTCTATATGAATTTTCAACGTATGCTTTGATAATTGTGACGCTGATTTTGTTTTGTTTTTTTTTTCTTCCCATTTTTCCAAATAAAATGAAAAAAAAAGGCCTCAATTATTGCATTTTGGATAGTGGATTTATATTTTCTAAATGGCAGGTAGTGTGATGCAATTCCATGGGAAATGTACCTTTTTTTTACACTCACTCATTCATGTCATTACTCTCTGTTCTTTTATTCAGTTGGATGATTGGGTTCTTTGTCGGATTTACAAGAAGACCAATGCTGTATCTTCAACAGCAACAATAAGTGCAGCAACAAGTGATCAAGATCGAGAAGAAGAAGAAGCAGAACAGTTCATTAAAGATGCCCTTTTACCAGCTGCCATTAAAAACCCTCCAACAAGCAATGCCCTTCAGCCTCAGAAATCTCGTTCCTTCTCCGACCTGTTAGACGCCACGGATTACTTGTTCCTGAGTAGTTTGCTGGCGGACAACCAGTGCAATGGATCCGGATACGAACCGCCGTCTTCGTTCGCATTCGCGAATATCGAGCATCCGCTAGTGAATAACTACACCACCAATGGCAACAACAACAACAACATCAGCAGCATCAGCTCTTCGGTTCTGAACATGGAAAACAAACTCAAGCGGCAATACTCGAGCATCGATGAGGATTACTTGATGAACACGTCAAAGAAGCCTTGCTGTTACAGTAACAGCAGCAGCCACACTGATATGAACCACTACAACTTTCTCAACCAGAGTTTACTTCTATGTCCTCATAATCAGTTCCAAGGATAAAAAAAATCTAAATTTTTCATAAAAAATTGTGAAAGAAATTATGGGAAAAAGATAAGAATAACAATCAATGATTGTCTAGGCCTCCTTGGTGCATTGAACAACAGTGGGACGGATAAAAAACACTGGAAATGGAGTTAAAAAGGGAATCAATCGTTCACGATTTTTGTAGAAAATTTATGTAGTGGAATTGGCAGCCCAAATTCACACTTTGTAAACAATGTGTTGCTTGAAATTTGATGAATTGATTCTTTCTTTTATGAAAAAGATATTATTATTCTCAAGCTAATCAATCACCAAACTTTCCGCACCAAAAAGATAAATGGAATCAAGACTGTCATTTCCTTTACAAATAGTAACATGCTTATGAATTTGATGCTCACTTTTCTATTTATAGATATTAAAATTTGAACATATTTAAGATTATTTATTTAGCACGAATCAAACAATCTCACTGGTTAAAGGGATGATGTTATCCCTTGAGTTTTAAAGTTTAAACACAATATGTACAAGAGTGTTTGAGTGTTTATTGTCAAATTATTGAGTCTTTAGAATAAATACTATCTTATAATCACTCTAGACTAATAAAAATATTAATAACTTATAAAAATCAAAACCCAAATTTTATAAGTGATTAATCAAACATTTTGAAACAAAAAAAGGTAAACAAAATCATTTAGACCAGCTAATTTAACAAGTAGGTATACTTGTTAGCTCATGTTATGCTAATTATTGTTTGGACTTAAAATCCATGATTTGATTCAGTTTGATGGTGGATAAGAGACAACTCAGGGAGCTGTTCCATTACTGAAAAACAAATGCACAAATTGGAGCTAAATAATAAACAAATCAGTACCTAACAAGCATTGAAGATTTACAGGAAAATACTCAAAATCAAGTTTCTTGATTTGCTAATCTTGTCACTAACAAAGATTAAAGAAATTGACGATGTGTCACATGATTGGTGTCTGAACTATATAATATGTTTTATAGTACCCCAGAAGTAGAAATCGTGTCATGATCAATACCAATTGTTCACATTATCTTTGGTCTTTTCGAGAAGATAAAGACTTCAATTATGCTTGTTATGTAAGAAATGTTTAAATTAATGATGGGGCCCTTAATAAAAAAAGCTCGTATTAGTGATAGCCGCTGATAGTTTTGAAGTAAAAAAATTCATAATGAAAAAAAATATATTAAAATTTGATAATTTAACTTCTATCTTAACATTTTGACCATAACCTCACATTTTAGGGTAAAAATTCTTTTCATTGATGGAAACTATTAATTAAAAAATGGTCAATGCTTCAAAATATGAGCTTTTTTCTTTAAAATGAAACATTGGAGGTAGGGATGTTCAAACGGTTAATTCTGTCACCGATCGAATCGAATTATCTTTAACCGAATTAATCAAACTTTTTTATTTCTTTAACCGTTAACCAAATCAAACTTTTTTTTTAAATATTAACCGAACCGAACAAAGCTCGGTTATTTAGTCGGTTAATCGAATTAATTGATTTTTGTAATTTTTATAATTAGATTAATTTAAATATAATAGATGTATATTTTTTTAATTGAGTTAAAAATTAATTAGGTATTGATTACTTAATGAGTCTAGTGTGATTAAAAAAATAATCGGGTATTAATTTGTAATGGGTTTGAGCTTAAAATATACTTATAATATATATAATATTTAATAATTTCAGTTAATTTGGTTAATTAACCGATTTCGAACCGAATTAACCGTTAACTGAATATTGAAAAAAGTATTAATTGTTCCCCGACCGATCTAATTCGGTGGCCGACAATATTAACTGAACTAATTCGGTTCAGTCGGTTAATTCGGTTAAAACTGAATAGTGAGCACCCCTAACTGGAGGCTAAAATGCTTCAAATAAAAAGAATAAGAGTTAAAATGACTATTTAGTCAAATGTTAGAAACCTTTTTGCCCTAAAATGAAACATTGAAGGTCAAAGTGCTCCATATATATATTAGAATGATTATTTAATTAAATGTTAGGGATAATTTTTGATATTATGCCAAAAAAACTTTTAAATAAACTTAGGTTCTTTAAAATTTATTTTTATAACTAATAATTCTTTGAGAGAGTTGGCAAAGATCTCAATGCCATGAGTATATCAAGATCTTAGGTGGAAGTCCCCATCATGTGTGAGCTCAATTTTAAAAAATAGGATCAACCCCATTGTGTATCGATACTTATCGGGTATAGAATAGATATGTTTCTCTTTTTTTCCTGACCCGAATTCTTCCCTTATTACTAATGGAATAGAACAAATATCAATCCTTTCTCCGAAAGAATCACTGAAAAGGGGAGGTATCCCAATGCAATAAAGTTACATAGTGTCTATTTTTCTAAAAGGCTAAAAGACTTAATTGACTAAATGAATTTAAATAGGGACTAAATTTGAAATTCTCCATTTATCCAGGGGTGGAAGAAGTTAAACTTTTGGGTGGCAATACTTAATTATAAATTTTGTGAGAGTCAAAATGCAATTTTACCACTATACTAGCTTATTATTATACAACTTTTAGAAGGATTGAATCACAAATTTTCATTTCATGAGGTAATATATAAATCTTCTCTTGTACTTTAGCTTAATTCTCAGTTTGGTCCATGTACTGTTTTTCTCCATTTTCCCCCTATAGTATTATTCTACCTAACATTTTATTCTTTTATCATTATCATTCATACAAATCACAAGATTAAATCAGAACATGTCAAACGTAATAATTTTTTAAAAAATATAAAAAATAATTTAAAAAAATCACTAAAATGTCATAAGTTTCTTTAAAACGTCTCTACTTTTTAGAAGAAAAATAGTATAGAAACTAAAATAAAAAGTAGATTAAAGTACTACAGAAAAAGGCCTATGAAGCATTATATAATAACTAGAAGGGTTTATATGCAATCTTACCATTTATTGGACCAGAAAAATCCTTTCAACTTTGTCCCCGGTTATTGGAGGCATGGTGCATAGGTAGCCTTTGGTATTTATTGCAGGTAGCACCTTATTTTGGTAAAATTTTATCTCTTCCACTTTGACTCTTGTTCAAGGTTCATTGAATTTGAGAATCAACAATTAAGAATACTGGCTTTGATTCACGTTACCTAAATTACGATAATTATATGATTTTAGATTGAATGTTAAAAGGATGTGATTATATGACAGCACTAATTCGGAAGACTCTAATTATTTAATAATGAATCAGGGGCAGATGCACTTGGCTTCGTAGGGGCCAAATGCGTACCCATTATTTTGGATAAGTTATTAAATATAATTCAATATATTAAAAGAAGAAGAAAATAATAAATTTTGCATACCATTTTGTTGGAAAAAGAGTACTAAAATTTTTGAACCCCCATTTTTAAATTCATGGATCCTCCACTGCAATGAACGCTTAAATATCCTTGTAAACATCATGCTCAAACTCAAAACCTCGAGGATAACAATCATCATTTTAGTCAACGAGGTCGCTTGATTCATGCAAATGATTAACTACATTTTTATTTACTCTTAAGTATTACAAATATATGTTAAGCCCTTTAGTCCTTTGATTTTAATTTTCAATCTTTCTTAAAATTTGATTCTTTCACTTGAGCATTTTGTTTTCATCACTATTGGTATTAGTGTTATTATTTTGGAACACATAATAAATTTGATATATCTAAAGAAAATTTTGATATTAGTCTGTTATAATATTAAAAAAATATTTATGAATTAATAAATTTTTGATTAAAAAAATATAAATTTGATTGGATGAGAATTATTTGTAATGTAATATAAATAATTGTTGAGAATTCGTTTTATCCATACTAATATGGAGATTTTACTATTTTTTAAAAAGATGTATTCTTTATTATCTTATATTTGACATTTTTTTGGGTAAATAATGTGTTTAGCACTTAAACTGTCAGTTTTGATCCGTTTTAGTACCTAATTCATTTTTTAAAACCATACTTAAAGTTTAGTTTTTGATTCATTGCAGTACCCATATTCAAAATTCAATGTCAAGTTTTGAAAGAAAAACAAATTTGAAAGTTTAGGTACTAAATCGGACCAAAACTTATAGTTTAGGTACTAAACGCCTTAAGTTTTTAACCATGTGTACTAAAATGAAACAAAAACTAAACATTAAGTATGATTTTTAAAAAATTAAAAGTTTAGGTAGCAAAATATATCTAAACTGATAGTTTAGGTACTAAATGCATAGTTTACCTTATTTTACTTTTTATTCATGTTTAGTTTTTCTTAATTTTACAGTATTTATCTTTTGCATATAAACATGTAAATGTTGAATAATGACAATAAATGCTTTAAAATATTGTTTTAAAAAGAAAACCGAAACAATAATTGCAGAAAATACTAATTAATCAAAGTTGGGCTATGGTTGAAGAATTATACATATTAAATACAATAGTAGAAGCCCTAGGAAAGAATATTTTGGTGACTGGGCTTTACCCAAAAATTATTTAATACAAATGTAGTCCAAACTAAAGAAAATTAATAAATAAAATAGAAAATAGTTATGGTGTAAAGAAAGGGTTTGGATCTGAAGTACTAGTTTTGTAAAGTTTAGACACGGTCGATGAACAATATTATTATACATTATTAATGAAAATAATATATAATTTTTAAAATTATTAAATCAAATAAATTTTTTTTTTGTGGTTTAATGAAAATGTTATGGTCTAAAGAAAGGGTTTGCAAGGTGCCATGATTATGCACACTATAGAATGATGTGATAATTAACTTAAAACTTTCAAGTAATGGATCCATATGCAAACTTTAAATATAGTTTGTTAGCACGAATCAAGTGATCTCGGTGATAAAAGAATTATTGTAATTCATTGAGGTTCCGGGTTTGAGAACTAAGAATGTCAAGGGTCTAAGCGTTCAATGTCAAATTGTTGAGAATTTATCTTTAGATAGATACTACCTTATACTTACTCTAAATTAATAATATATATATATATATATATAATTTGTGAGAAGTAGTAAGAAATATCGAATATTGATTATAAAATAAATATTGGAGACCCAGGATGTTTCTGATAATTAGTTCGTTAGCTTCTTACTTGGATTTAACAAGGTGTTTCATTTCATATTATGAGGTTAGAAGCTATTAAATAATTAACAAAGAAGAATGTATTGAGAGATCTCAATGGTAAATGGGAGTGTTATTCTCCTTAGAGGA